GTATGATGAGTGGTGTATGATGAGTGGTGTATTGATGAGTGGTGTATGATGAGTGGTGTATTGATGAGTGGTTTATTGATGAGTGGATGAACAGTTCTTGAATGTCCGTAACACGCAAGTTTCGTACACTAAACTTCCTTTGACAAAGGATGGCAAAGGATCTTAGTTTTGCTCATGGCTGTCTCAAAGGAGAAAGTTCTCAAGAAGATGGAGGCTTCAGTGAGAACACTTTGCAAGCTGTCCAACACTTTGGATGGTGACAGTGACTTTGCGCACGTGTCCGACTGTTTTGGGAACAAGGACAGGACTATATGGAAACAGCAGACAGCAATGTGATGATTTGATGGCAAGGTGTGGTCGCCTGGGTTGGGTCCGGCAGGCGGCAATTCAGCATCTTGCGCCATGCCATGACAGAGCAGCTGACTTCTGGATGGACATCACCCAGGCCTGTCATGAAGGATTACGGGGTCGCCCGAAGTTGGATTCAGAATTTCTTGGAGACCACCTATTCATCAACAAGGAGTCCTATGGTGGTTTGTTCACCACCTGGTGTATCAGCAGGGCAGTTAGTCCACGACTTTGGATTTGTGATCAGTGTTGGCATGACAAGGAACCTCTGAGCCAAATTGGTGGCAGAGGTGGCATCTTCACTGAGTGATGCGGAGTTGGGGCTTGTGTTGAAGGAGGTGGGTAGCTGCCTCCAGGTCAAAGCGACCATGGAACCTCTGGAGGTGGATGTTGACATTTTTGGCAGAAGCATGAGATCAAAATTTGTGATCTTTGAGAGTACGCGCCCTGATGTCATCCAGCTCTTTACCGGACTCCAGCAAATGTTCCTCATGAAGGGTGAGAAGTACAATGAACAGATTGCTGGATACATCCAGAGCTTCAACAGCAAGAGCCAAGTTGATGCTGCAAGGATTTCAGAAGCTGAGGCCAAGATGCTTGTGATGTTGCCAGCTCAGCAGTTTGAGTTTGTATCAGTGCTTGAGCGACACTGTGACCATTTCAAGATCCAAGATTCAGGCGTGACTTTGAAGAGCCTCATCAACACAGTGGACAGGGTGAAGAGGATGGACAACTCAGTGCCTGGGATCTGGCAGTCTATCCTTGCGCCATCACCTGAGAAGAACACGCTCTATGTTCAGAGGGCTGTCCATGTGTTCTTGAAGAATCTTGCACAAGATCAAGCTGGCAACAAGGGCACGGCCATCAACTTGCGGATGAGAGCATCCAAGCTTCGTGGCAATCTCCCTGAGAACTATGACATGTGCTGCCTGAGGCGCTGGAGACAGCAACGCTCAAGGCCTGGCAATCGGAGCTGTACAAGGAAGATTCCTCCTGTTGCAGCAGCATTTTTAAACAACTGTTTTCCAGCAGTTCTTTCAAGAAAGCTTTGCAGCAGTTCTTTCAAGAAAGAATACTTTGCAGCAGTTCTTTCAAGAAAGCATGCTTTGCAGCAGCTCTTTCAAGAAAACATGCTTTGCAGCA